CGTGGTTTGAACCATACGCGAGCAGAAGCCGCCTGACGCTGAGCATGTTGCTTCATCAGATCCTCTTTAATCTTGACCAACGCTTGAGGCAACCAGCCTGAAGCTCTGGAGGTCCGAGTTAAATCCTGGGAGACTCGCTCACCTGATCACTTGGTAGTTTCAAAGTTGCCCTTCTCCCACTGCGATATAAGGTCGCTATAATTCAGCCTAACCTGCGCCACGGTAAGCTTACGTTTGGGCATAGACGAGAGCGGCGAACTAAGCTGGTATGACAAGGAAGCAACTCCTGGCAACCTCGCACGAAAAGCACGTGTGATTGCATGAAAAAGTACACGAACAGCACGTTTCGTGCCCATGTTTAAACTCCCTTTTACCTAGGTGTAAGCAGTTAAGCCTGTGTACGAAAGATGAGAAAGGGGCACAGAGAGGGGAGTAACGAGTATCGAGTGAAGCCAGACAGAGAACAAGCATCAGAGCAATGAGACAGAGATGAAGAGCGGCAGTCGGGACAGCCCAGCCCTTCCGAGTGCCTTTAGATTTCTTTCGTACCCAGGTCTATTTTCGTACCCAGGTCTAATAGATGGTCTTGGACCAAAATGACGATGAGTAAGCACTAGTATCTTGTGCTCCGTACTCTGGTTGACGTCGGTCGTACTGATATATTGTCCCTTGTCTATAGACTGTCAGCTGTGGGCTTCGAACCCACGCGGATCAGATCCGCGTGAGAGATTCTCTCCACCAGAACTTGAGAACTTGCTGTTGTCGTCAAGACAAGTTATGTTAACGAACAGTAAATACCCGAGTGAGTTGACAAAAAGAAGTTCTTTCCAAGAACTGCGTCTACCCAGTGGGATGTGAGTAACCTCAAAATGCATGTACCAGTGGTACAGTACCACGCCTGTTGTTGACCAAGATTCATCACCCAGCATGAATGAGATTCATACATAAGTTAACATCGATACTCATACCATGCATATCAATGCCGCGTAACGTGCTCCTTCATCCGAATATACATTGGACGAAGAGAGTTTCACTGCTGTTGATTTCCGACTGAACGTGACAAAAGACCTCATATGAAGAAAATGCAAGTGATAAATTACAGTGTACATATTGTCAGTATACAATATGGAAGAACCATGTGACGTATAATCCGGACAGCCGAGCTCTGGCTGGGCTGATCGAGCCAATCTCATAACTTCCACCGGGTGACAGGCCCGAACGGTAACCAACCCAGAGCCCCCGTCGGGATACCTTTCTCATCAGCCGGCCGCTTTCTTTTACGCGAATCGGATAGGGAGAGGACATCGGACAGATCCACCTGAAGAGAATAGCATTCGAAAGGGAAAGCCCTGAGAAGCATGAAGAGAGGCCAAAGATTGCAGCGACAAGTCAGCTCCAATGTTGTCAGGTCCCACCGCAGCCGTAACTAGCTTCTGTAAGACACCCTGCATGGTGGCAGTACATACCTCATCGCGTCCTGCAACCAGATATCTGACCAGTTATCCGTTGCTTCCAGTGCTTGATACCCCGTCAAACCGTACCCGACAGCTAATGAAAGAAGCTGATATGAAGGAGTTGTCTTTATTTCTCCAAAGCTCTTGGAAACTCTAGCCCCCATCTTCTGCGCCATCTGAAGTGCAGACGAGTATAGGAAAATCCGATTGATCCCAGAAGATTCTAACTTTGACCGACCTCGAGGATCTCTGCAGCGCCACCCGTGACAGAAGCCGCCTTCATCATCTCAACGGCCGAGGTGAGACAAGTCGACGCCGTGGCTTCGGGATAGCCGATCAGATTAACAACATCACCAGGAGAACTTCGATAGGTTTCCTCATAGTCATACCTGAGAGCCTTGAGATCTCCAAAGCCGGAAGTTCCTGCGACATCCCCGTACGTGAAGAACCAGTTTATGCCGGCACTCAGTCTGGGAGTCCCATCAGAGGGCAGAGAGCCCTCAACAACGTGCCACCATCTTGGAGGTACAATGAGAACATCGCCAGCACTTAAATCTACCGTTATGAATCTACAGAAAGCCACGGGAATGTGTTGAGCGGTCAGCTGGAAAAGTGGTCTATTCGACGCACTTGGTGACACGAAATCTAACGAGTTTTCCGACGTATATGTGATAGAAGCAAGGTTTGCTTACGAGGTAATATCTTACTTCACTAGATCCGAATAACGATGCCAGCTTCTTGTCCCACAGGTGCTGCTACTCGTACCAGCAGCCCGTCGGAGCGTCGGCTGATACTGTGACCGCGCGCTTCCGTTATGACTGAGTATCACATGTTGGTCTGGATGAGCAACCGTCCATCTTCGACTCCCTGACAACGAATCCAAATTCTGTCGAGATTGAACCTCTAGTGTCTTCGTTTCATGCGGACTCAAATTATTTGGATCGAATACACCATCCACCCCCACAATGCCTCCACTGCGCTGGTCATCAAGCAGCCGACTCAAACTAGACGAACAGTGAATTCTCAGTATCAGTACCCGAATCATCAATCCGGGTATCCGAGAAACTCGAGATATGCTCTAGGAGCAAGACCTACCTCTAGCGCATAGGTACACATTCCAGTCCGTATCGTAGTGACAATTGGTGTAGCAGTAGGCTGCATTGAAGAACAAGTGCCGCTTGCTGTCGACGCAGTCGTTGCCGAAGAGGTCCCCCAGGATCGAAGTGTCGCCCGCCTTATCCAAATCAGAGGCAAACACGGGTCGGTAAACTTTCGTTGATTTTCCCCGAGACGTCGCCCCTGAGATGAAGGACTCCGACTCTGGAAGGATCTGAGTCCACGTAAATATATCGTCAACCCTATTCACTTTCGGATACGTCCGTTTTTGAGCAAAATTCGAAAGGCGACAAGCCACGGCCGTGCTTATCAGGGACTCCAAGGAGGTACTGACCCCGTTTAGGACCCGTCTCGAGGAATCTACGATGAGCATGAAGAGCTGCCACTTGCTGGAGACCACCAACTTAGCAATGCTCATTCGAGCGGCTGGCATTGCGTCGCTCTGATTCACGTCCCCATCGGGATCGGGCGCGTAAACCGTGTACCTATGTTCTAGGCAAAACCGCCCAAGCTCAACAGTTGGAGTACGACTACTTCCTTTCCGGACACTCTTGCTCCTCTCGCTGAGCCAGGTATTTGAGCCTTCTGTCGCTGGTCCAGGTCCGAACAACCGCCCATCTTGCCCCAAGACCTCGTATTACAAACGGGAGACGACGGGAACGTAGCTCACGGAGCTTCCTACAGGGCAGACAGATGTACGAGCGACGAGCGAGTCAACCACATAGTGAGGCGATGGTATAGAAGTTTGATCATACTGATACAAGAGAGTGATTACTCCAAATTCACAGAGCCCTCGATCTCTCCAACCTCGGTGCTGGCATTAGCCGCCATTATACCAGCTATAAGGTGCGCATCGCGAGTGGTAATAGCTGTCCGAGATGTCATTAAGGGTTGATAAATCACGCATAGATCTATGTTACAAAGCGGAGAGAGCTTTTGCCCAATTTCATGTTACACAAGTTACACTGCGAACCCGATTGCATTGTATCGACGAGTACTGGACACTAGCACACTGATTTCCCAATTAACAGCGCTACAATGATGGAGAAGCACGAAGCAAATAGAATTTCTGAGATTCACATAGCATATGGGATTGAGACGTCGATCACGGGCACCCCTCCCTGCGAAGAACTGTAGGATTCATTGATTACTAATCAATGATTAGTTGAGTGATCATCACGCGGCGAGGAACCGCATACCCAACCTTACACCATCAGCTAACCGATCAAAACTGGAAACAACATAGGCGACGAGATACTAGTACGTCTTTCAAGACCTAATTTTTAACATAGGGTATTCTGGGATGCGGCCTCAGGCATTCGACTCCGCATATTCTAACCTCCGAACTGTTCCGCACTGCTCCACGTGGTAGGACTTGCTCCACTGGGAACACTCAATGCTAGTTCTACTCCGCTGGTCGTATGTCATATCATCGCACTGCCTTGGTGGCGGAGCAAAGCGTCTTTGACGTATTCATAGGTCACGAATGTGCACCATTGGGCCGGCATAACACGTACCTGAAGACTGGCTTCGACTCCTTAGTGAGGCAGGCGCTTGTCTACTGGACAATGTCTAGGACCGACTAAGCTAGCTTCTCATCTCATGCGGTCTGTACTCACTCACCAGCGAAACAAAGATCCCCCTGTAAAACCCAGCAAATCCGTCCTTGGCTACGACACTGAAAACGAAACCGGACGATCATCTAAAGAATTCGGCAGCGGATCTTCTCATCCGTGGCTCGATCGATATACCCAACCCGGAATCGTCTACCTCTTCATTGAGTTCCAAAGATCATCGTAATTGTGACTCCGTAACCCAGCGTCCCTCATCCTAACTGTTAGCACTGTAATAGGGCTGATGAAAATCTGGGAAAAGTTTCGAAGATGTTCTTCGAAGGCTCATCAAGTGGCCGACAAATTATGATGGAAGTGCTCATAATGATGGAGCGGACGGGACTCATGAGACCATGTATTCTCACCATGGCAGTAGACTTTGCCAGGGTAGTCGCTAAGACTATATCCGACGGACTGAGCTGCTGACAATCACGATATGCTTGCAGTCTGGATCTGAAGTACTCAGACTGAGTACGTCAGGACTCCCCAGTGGGGAGTCCCCACTCGGGAGCAGGCAGCGCACATCAGCGAAGCCACCGACCACGACTCAATGGGTACCATGAGCATTACTTGGTGGGCTCGTAGATCATGAACTGAATTCCACCTTGAGCAGATCCCCACATGCTTGGAATCTAGAAGAGAACAGTCGATAAAAAGGACGAAGGATGAAGAGGCAGTGGATGGGATACTGTAGTGTACTCACGATTCCTCTATAGAACCCTGCGACTCCCCTGTCACGATAGAGTCGCTTCAGGCAGCCGCGGACTCCGCCAGGATACACGGCCAGTTGGACATTCACCTTCGTGACCCAAAGAGGACAGAGCACGACTTGCACCTGACTTCAACTTTTTTGCAAGGCCACCACGAGGCATCATCATTCCACGCCGTTATCCACCAGAGTCCTTCGCCGTTGAACCCGACGATGATGATAAGCAACTATCAGACGGTTCGGACCTTACCAGGCATCCCGCTGCAAAGCCGCTGAGAAGATGATTAGCTGCTGAGGGTAAGTTAAAGATGTTGGCTGCTTTGAGTGTGTTGTATCTGGTTCGCCAACGAAGGGTATTCAAAGCGGGATCTCATCACACTCTAGCAATGCTACCCGTAAAAATACTGCCCCCAGGCAAGTGATGCTCCCGTTACACTTATGCCTGAGACATGAACTCGTCATATCAGGGAACACAGAGCGGAATGAGACCGATACAGCCCCAAGTGTGCTCTTTTACCAAAGCCCCGGTATAGTGCAGGCCGGACGCCTTCTTCTCGGATAACTTTTGCAAACAGCTCACGCACACTCGGGCGTCGAGAACCATCATAGTGTCTCTGCAAGTGAACCCTGAGTAAATCCAGAGGGTAGAAAACTGCCGTCGAACCTGAAAATATTAGTCAGTGTTCAAATCTTGCGAGAAGGAGAAGCCCAAGAATCGCTTCCCGAAGTCACTCACAGAGCCCGCCGAGGAAACCTGCCGAAGCATGAGCATTTACACGGTTTGCATAACCGTTCAATCGTGGTGAATCTAGCCACCCATTCGTTGTCCCAGTACAGCTGATCTCTCGCGGGATAGGTGCCATAATCTGAGGTGGGTGAGAGGAACTGAGATTCTCCATGACTGTATTCCTGTACGAAACATCCGCGGCTCGACCGCATGGAAGTTTCTTCCCATATTGAACTGAGTCATAAACATTGAAAAGCTAGACGAGTGCGAACAGAAACCTTCTAAAACGTTCATGCCTGTATTCTCTTCATAACCGAGGTGCGCTCTAAGGCTCTCGTGATAATACTGTTCATCAAAACCGCGTCACTGGCGAGGCTGGATGTTTCATTGCCACAAATTAACTCTGCGTTTCGACCTTTCCCAACTTGCCTCGCGCCCCGATCACTTGCCCTCATGATCGCGTCTCTGCCGTGCACAGCAGTGAGCAGTCTATACCGGAGCTCCCGCTCATATGCAAATAAGTCGGCAGTCGACGAATTAAGATCCACGAAAAGTATTGCTCTGTCATCTTCTGTCGCGAGCAGTGTCAAGTCGGCCGCACATAGACTTCGAGAGCACCTCCATGAAGTCGACACACGCAATGGCAATTCGCGACGACGGATCTCTTCTGCTAAATGCATGGCAAACAGACGATCGTGCTCGGCGCCTTGGATATCCACGATGAGGTAATTCGCAGTGCCTCGGGCGCGCTGTAGTTCGTCACGTTGACTTGTAGTCAGGCACGATAATTTGTGTTCAACTTCCGCGCAGACGAGAGACTTCACCGTTTGCCCACGAGGCAAATTCAACATACTCATTAGAAGATCTTCCACTTGCTGCATATCAAGCAACCGACTGTCGGCGATATGAGCCACAGCATCGGTGACCAACGATAGAGCGACTGTTGACTTCCACGAGCGCTTGGATGTAGCATAGGCTAAGAAGCTGAAAACTTCAGAGGTGATTTCACCTCGATAAACTGTCGACCGTGCAAGGACCTCAGAGAGGCGGCCGATCGTGATGTCTCGCACGGTGCCGCAACCCTGTGCGATTGCCGCAGCGAGAGATACCAAGTCGCCGAGAATAGGCTCGGGCAGAACGTGAGACCGGATGGAAACACTCCAGCATATGTCCACTATGTGAGCAGGGCCGATGCGCCCCTCGGGCTCCTTCTCGATGTACTCGAAAACCAAGTTAGCCAAGG